TTAATTGTTTCCTATTGACCTCGAACACATGCGTTTTAATTCACCGAGTGCGACTTTCCGACGTCTGCATCGGCACGACCGAGGAATAATGAAGACATCGCTTTATATGTACTCACCATTTGCATTGAACGTGTCTTTCTTGCCCGGTGATTCCGCGCGTTCCTCTTTTTCCGCCGTGTTCGTGTCGCTGTCGCTCGCCTCTTTGTTCCTGCGAAGCAAGAAAGGATCCGGCGTTACATTTACAATTTTATCTCGTGGTAATCGCGAGCAATTTTTCTAACGAGCTTTCGCAAATTCGAACGCATTCCGATACGTAGTCTCGATTTGCTCCGTTCTCTGTCTTCCAATTCCTTCTCGCTATTCAAGCGGTCGATTAACTTTTTTTGAAATGACCCAGATCCATAAAAAGGAAGGCTGTGCGCCATTAGCATGCGTGTAACTATAGCCCTGCTGAAATTTCACTCTCTTCTGCCAGGGCTGACTTCGAATTCACCGGGATCCTCTGGAATGTTAATCGCCGCCTCTCGACTTTATCGTATCGCTCTCTCGGACGCCACGTGCGTGACAGATCTCAGACCGGCCTATGCACACAAACTGGAAATCGCGCGAAATTCAACGAAGACATAACGTTGCGCGTGAAAACGCTTAAATCTCGATGCTCGATCGAGCGAGGCGTGGCTGATTCGTGCTATAAATAAACACGGGTAGCGTTTTGCAAGCGTAAATCGCGTGGCCAGGCATCTTAATCGAGGCGAACCGGAGAAATTCCGGTCGAAAGAGCGTAATTTGCTTACAATTAAAAGAGCACACCTCTACTCGCCACGCTCGATAATCCCGCGAATTTAACGTACCGTTTGCATACCCGTGCGCGCCTACTTCCTATCCGCGAGAAAACCGCGTATTCCGGTAAAATCAGCCAAGATGGTACACTTCGATAGCTGTCTATAAGGAACGGAGACCAGTTTCGGAGCAAATCAGGTGGCAGATCTCGTGCATGATCGTTTGGTTGCGTAGGAACGCTCCTTTTATACCCTCTTTTCGAGAACTGGTTCTTAGGAGAGAGGTTGAACGACACGTTTATATCTGCAGACGCATTGTTCTACCCTTAGAAAAATCCTCCTCCTAGTTTAGATTCGACGAGCGTTATTCAACCGCCGATCAAAATTGTCATGGCGTTACGAAACGGTGTCGAGTAATCCATTAAGACGACAATACCCTATTTGCTCGTTAAAAGGGACACTGTCCTATGGAACTTACGCGTTCATGTACTCGAGGGAATTGGTTTCCTCCTCTTCGCCAATTGTCGCTAGATTACTCTGCCAGTAATAGTCTCCCTCGTCGCTCTCCTCGCTCGAATCATCCTCATCCATCGTCTCGTCCTCGTTTCGCCCTCGATTTAGGTTTAAACTACGCATATCGCGGTTGATATCGTTGTGCGATCGATAACAGTCCTCGCGATCTTCGCTCTCCCGACGTCCAAATATGTCCGTCTTGACCGGAGAACATACTTCCCTAGGACGGTCCAAGCTTTCGTTTCGAACAGATCCCGTATCACTCGACTCGTCTATAGGCTCGTTAAACTTGGTAACCTGTTCGTTCTCCTCGTCGGACTCGTCGATCTCCGCGGAGATCGTAACTGCAGTTCTAAGTTCAGGCTTAGGCCTTTCCTGCTTCTTAAAACTACCGTTACCAGCGTTCACTTTAACCCTCTCGCTGTCTCCGTTCATCCTCCCGATATCGTTCATACATTTAGCCTTACTCTCAACCTCCTCGTCCTCGCTCTTCGCAACGAAATTCGTCCTCTGCGGCAAGAAAGCTTTAGCCATCCTTATCTCAATTATCTCCAACACCTTGTTCGTTCTCGGTTGCCCGTCGTCTTCCACGAGGTCGTAATTCTCCATAGACTCCGTGTCGTCCGTTTCCTCGCTCTTTTTCTTCCTCTTCTCCAAATCGACCCCCTCGTCGCAAGGATTTTTCAACGGTGTCGAATTCACCTCCGCGTCCCGTCTGTCCGCCGTCTTCGACCTGTCCTCGAGCTTAGCTCTGGTCGCAGCTTCCTCGAGCTTGTTGCTGGCGAGATCGGTGTGCGGAGACGGTTCGTCGTCCTCCTGTTCGAAACTCGTTTGTCTGGACTCGGGCAACGAGGAGGGCTTCACCTCGGTTCGGGGCGTGATCGTGGGTGGTGGAGGCGGCGGCGGGGGTGGTCTCTTCCGTCTGACCTTGACGTCCCTCCTGGGCAGCGGCTTGGGCGGTAGAACAGGTGCGTCTTGGTTGTCGGAGGACTCTGTGCTGGATTGCTCGGACAGTTTCTGCGAACGTGGCTCGTTCACCGGTTGATTGACGCTGATCCTGTTCACGTGATTCCTGGCAGGCAGAGGCGGAGGAGTCCTGTCCGTGCCTCGTCCGCAGGAAGCTTCTTTCACCTTCTCGGGCTCAGGTGAGGAGTTCCTCGGGCGGAATTCCTCGTGGATGCTGTTCACGCGCTCGACCAGCTCGACGTCGTCCTTAATTGGCCTGAAATGCGTCGTCGAGTCCGCGGCTAGATCCGCCGTGTAAAAAAGATCAGGTCTAGCTTCGTGCCCGTAGCTCAGTGGCGCGTCTTGGAAGCTCAACGGTGGCTGAAACGTGATCGTTTCCTCGATCAGCACAGTGTTCGGCGCTACCACCGCTGTGATCTTCTCAACTTCGCCGCGGGATTCTACGTGGGTCACAGCCTCCGAGCTGGCTAAACGACGTAGCAGGTAATCGGGAGGATTCGAGGAGTAATCTTCTAAATTCTCGAACGTCGCTTTGGACAATTGGGAATCGCGGTCCGACGATCTGTCGAAGTCTTGATCTATTCTTGAGAATTCGTTCGGCTGTTCCGAGGCGGTGGAAGCAGTCGAGGTTGTAGAAATGGTGGATACTCTGTCGGATGTTGAGAATCGATCGATTACCGTGGACATTGAGCTTCCTGTGTCGTCGGAAGTGCTTCCGTGCGTCGATCCACACTGGGATCTTGCGTCCATGTACACCATAGCCTCCGGAGGTTCCTACAAAAGTATACAACAGTTAGAATTGTCTATCGAAGGAAGAATGAGACATTCTCTACTATAAGAATACGCTGTACCTGCTTCGATTTTGCCAATTCTGGAGAACGTTCCTTGGGCGATCCCTTTGGACTGTCCTGACGAACAGATCCATTGACACTTTTCGGGGAAGATTCGCAGCTCTCGAAGGACGTCGACTTGCTGTCACCTTGACTGTTCGGCTGCGAGCTAGGCGAACCATTCTGCGAGCTGCTCTGCGAACTACTCTGCGACCTCGATCCGTTCCAGGACTTCTTCACAGGACTAGGATTCGCCTCGCCGTCAGCCAATCCTCGTGCTTGCCTGAGCTTTCGCGGCGGCACAGGCGGAGGTGCCGACGGCAGCTCCGGCGGCACTTTCTTCTTCTCCGGGGAGCTTTTCTTCTCCGCGCTCACCACCTCTGGTCTGAGCGCGCCTCTGCACCTAACCATCAGCTTGATAACCAGCTGCGACTCCTTCAATCGCCTCACGCAATCCAGCCGAGTCATGTGTGTCACTGGTACACCGTCTATCGAGAGTACCTGGAAAAGAGACGCGGCTAACACGTGACCGGTGTGCGCAGGTGAGATAAAACAAGCTGGGGTTCTTGCTCTATGCACGAACCGCTTCTCCTGGGAATCGTTACGCGGCAAACTGGGTCTCGAAAATTCAGAACGACTCTCGCGACAACACCGGAGAACTCACCTCGTCGCCCTCTCCCAAGGTACCCCACGAGCATTTCGCTCTGCTCGCCGGGCTCTGCTCCGCGCAGCTTTGAACGAACAGCCTTCGAACCCTCTCCGACGTCTTGTTACCACCCTCGAACTTCAATCCGAACCCTAGCCGTTCTCCAGGCAGCCTGTAGACCTCGACCTCCTCCTCCAACGGTCCGTCGATACCGTTGCTCTGAGGTTTGCACACGGTAACAGACGTAGGTGGTTCATCGTCCTTCTTACTGTTACCAATGGACAGTACAGTGACGAAATTCTCCGGCGGGGGTTGACTCTCGACGCTGACCACCGTCACGAAATCCTCCGCGGCACTCTTGGCGACATCCATTTTCCGGATCGTTCTCAGACCGTTCCATTCATCGCAAGCCCGCTGATCTTTACAGTCCGGAATGCTGGCCACTCCCTGAAAGCAGGTCCGTATCCATTGTAGACGATATCTATGTCGTAATCGGTGGACAAGTTTTCTCGAGCAAACTCTGCCCGTCTTACACGCCAG